GAAGTTTTGGAAGAGTGCGGGCAAGGCAGGCTTGGAGTGGCTCACTAGGTTATTTAATGTCATATTTAGAACGAAGAAAATGCCCGAAGAGTGGAGGTGGAGCACGATGGTTCCTGTATACAAGAACAAGGGTGATATCCAAAATTGCAATAATTATTGGGGTATCAAGCTGCTTAGCCATACTATGAAAGTCTGGGAGAGAGTGGTAGAGCTAAGGGTGAGGAGGAGTGTGTCTATCTCCGAGAACCAGTTTGAGTTTATGCCGGGGCGTTCGACTACAGAAGCCATCCACCTTATTAGGAGATTGATGGAGCAGTATATGGAGAGAAAGAAGGACTAGCATATGGTGTTCGTCGACTTAGAAAAGGCGTACGATAAAGTTCTAATGGAGGTTTTGTGGAGATGTTTGGAGGCTAGAGGTGTTCCTGTGGCCTATGTTAGTTTGATTAAGGACATGTATGATGGAGTAAGACCCGAGTGAGGACGGTGGGTGGGGACTCAGACCATTTTTCGGTTATGATGGGGTTGCATCAGGGGTCGGCACTCGGCCCTTTTTTGTTTGCTCTGGTGATGGACGTACTGACGCGCCACATCCAAGGGGAGGTGCCGTGGTGCATGCTATTTGCAGATGATATTGTTTTGATTGACGAGACAAGAGACGGTGTGAACGCGCAATTAGAGGTATGGAGGCAGACCGTGGAATCTAAAGGTTTCAAGTTGAGCAGGACCAAGACAGAGTACTTGGAGTGTAAGTTCAGTGGTGAGACTCAAGAAGGGGAAGGGGAGGTGAGGCTGGACTCGCAGGTCATCCCTAGGAGAGGAAGTTTTAAGTACCTTGGGTCTATTATTCAGGGGGGTGGGGAGATTGATGAAAATGTCACACATCGTATTGAGGCGGGATGGATGAAATAGAGACTCGCTTACGGTGTTTTGTGTGACAAGAAAGTGCCACCGAAACTTAAGGGTAAGTTCTACTGAGTGGTGGTCAGACCAACGATGTTGTATGGGGCTTAGTGTTGACCAGTCAAGGTCGCTCATGTCCAGAAGATGAAGGTAGCAGAGATGAGGATGTTGAGATGGATGTGCGGGCACACCAGGTTAGATAGGATCAAAAATAAGGTTATTCGCGACAAGGTGGGTGTGGGCCCCTATTGAGGACAAGATGCGGGAAGCACGACTTAGGTGGTTTGATCATGCGAGGAGGAGGAGCACAGACGCCCCAGTGAGGAGGTGTGAGAGGTTGACATTGGAGGGCCTACGGAGAGGTAGAGGCAGGCCTAAGAAAAGGTGGAGAGAGGTGATTAGACAAGGCATGGCGCAGCTTCAGCTGACCGAGGACATGACCCTTGATAGGAAGGTATGGAGGTCGAGAATTAGGGTAGTAGAGTAGGTAATCTAGAGTGTTCATAACAGTAGTATTGACACGCAGTCTTGCTTTCTGTTGGTAGTAGGTTTTTATGACTAACCGTTGTTTTCTTTCATTGTTGATCACCTTACTATCTTGTTGTTTTTATTCTGCTTTTGTATGGCTTTTTGGTACTGTCCCTTCTTGTCTATATTTTCATTAATGTGGTACTTATACGTTCTTGAGCCGAGGGTCTATTGAAAACAGCCTCTCTATCCTCACAAGGTAGGGGTAAGGTCTGCGTACACACTACCCTCCCCAGACCCCACGATGTGGGATAATACTGGGCATGTTGTTGTTGTTGTTGTTGTTGCATTATACTCCTTGTACTAAAGATATGGGAAATGATTGGGTTGTTCTCATAAACACAGGTAAGAAATGTTAAATAAAGTTCATTGCTAACTTGGTAGTATTTCACCAACAAAAAAATAAACTGAGAAAAATAAAAAAGAACGACGTTTTACCTCTCAGAATTATCATATTGACCTTCCCAAGGTCTTATAAAATCTTCCTCCTCAAAAACAAGACCCGAGATCAAGATCTGAACTGCCAAACGCTGAGAGGATGATATGCAGAGTAAGATCAAATAACAAGGAGCACTTATGGTCCATAAGTGAAAATATAATTCGTGGTAACTATGAGAATAAAGATGAAAGGATAGAAAGAAACAATAAAACAGCACGCCTACATACCCAGTGGAACAATACATGCTAAGAAGACAATATCAAGTATGAAAAAAGAGAGCTCATTGACTTACCCCCTGGTTGTGGTTTTCCCCTATAGCCTTGAACTCAAATTCATCAACATCTCCAATTCTCCTGGCCATTTTAGTTCCTGTAAGTCCAGCTCCAGCAGCTGGGTAATCAAAAGTATCAGTATAACATTAAATAACCGTAGAATCCACTTAAAGATGTTCACACTCCAACGCCACTCTTAATTTTATGGGTTAGCCTTGCATTATCTGTCTCCATTATCATGCCATAAAAAGGAGATTCAACCAAAGAATGTTAAAAACTTATACACCCACACACACATATCCTACAAAACATGTGTTAACCTCCAAATGATGCCGCAACTGCAACAGATCCTGCAACACTTCCTGCAGCAGTAGCAACAGCAGCGAACCCACTTGCTCCAATCACAGGAATAAGAGTCCCCAAGGTAGGGGCTAAAGCACCAAAGCCAGCAGCTATTGCTGGAGCAGCCAAACCTGATTGATAATAAAACAAATTTTGTTCTCTAAGACAGTTGTTCATTGAACATAGTAGAACCTCTCAATGAATCAAACAAACTGAAAGATCAGAGAATTCTGTTTCCTTGGAGGTTCGTTAGACTATAACTGGAGCTGCTAAAAATTAAGTGAAACTGCGATGTCATACCACCAGTAATTGCCATTAAAGTTCCACCAGTCAATGCAGCAGCACCTATAATACCTCCTCGTTTCCACTTAGCCCATGAACTATCAGGAGATTGGCTTTCCTCCTTCGATTCTTCCTCTTTCAGCAAAGCCATCGCTGAACAAGCAACCATGGTCTCAATGGCTTCCTGCAGCACATAAATTCTTTTGATATCTGTTAAGTATATGGAAGTTCATGCCTAAAATAAATAGCAACTTGGGACAAACGTAAATTCTACACCACTTCAACGTGTTCTCTCATGTGAGATAGGTGTTACCCTAATTTTAATGAAAAAGAACTGCTTGTTAAAATCAGAAGAAAGTATTTTACACTAATGCATCTATATTCTCTTCAAAAAAATTGTTGACATCAAAGTAAAGAACCAAAAGCACAATAAGATTCAGACTCTCGTCCTTTTAAAGGAAAACAAAAACATATAACCAGCCATGCACATATTCCCCCCATCGAATTATCGCGCTTACATAAAATGTTATGTCTGTAGTATCTTTGCTAAAAAAAAAGGACCTCATCACCATTTTGGAATTATTTTTATAGCCATATCAAGGTAGTAGAAGATCCTCAAGAATTCTATGGCATAATGAAATAAGAACTTCTGGATTCGTATTAAAAATACATGCTTTAATCATGCAGCAATACATGCATTAGAGCACATAAAAATTACAAAAATGTGCCCTTTATTGTAATAACTTGATCATTATCCATCTCTTACCTGTTATCTCTAATTTCTTGTTATAAAGTTTATAATACTAATATTAAAAATATAAGAAAGTGTCTAAAAGGATTTTCTTTTGTTTACAAAAGGAATGCAAGATTTATTCATTCACTTATTCTAAGATGTAGCATTCACATTTTAACTTTCCTCTAAAATTTGTTCTTTATTTGATATAATCAGAAATAAATAATTAAGGAGTATAATTTGATGATGATTTTTAATTTAAAGTACAATGATGATTTTAATTTCTCAAGCTCATATTACTGCTTAGAGTTCTCCACATTTGAGCAGCTAATGGAATGCTCTCCACATCTCTTCCTCAGGAGAGCAGGCATTCAAACAACTTCATTATTGCAGAGTGATATACAAAAAGTCTAGAAGATTCTCTCTGCTATAAATCTAGCATGTTCCTAATAGGATATGCAATTAATATATCAGTCACTTTAGAAGAGATAGCATAGAAAGAAATGAAGCACATAATGGAAATTTATGCATCATTTAAATGAATGTACCATTTTGATCCATTTGACATTAAGCCAAGTTGTTAGCAACCGTAAAGCCACACGATGTCGAGCATCATAACCGTTCCTTCTTCGAGTAGATTTCTTACCATCTTCAGGTACTTGTGCGAGACAAGCTGAAAGAAGCTCATAGAGAATGGTCACTTTCCTAGAGTACCCAAGCATTGATACCTCTTCGACAGGTTTTTCATCAGAGCCACTAACAGCCTCCAAATGAGCACCAGCAATGCTAGATGGTTTCTGGCTTTTCTCTTGGTAATTTTCAATATTCGTTTTTTCCACGTTAGATGTGGACTTCACATCAACAATCGATAACTTCTCCAGACATTCATTCTTATATTCGCGCCTCTTCTCCTTCTCAGACTCATTATCAGAAGTTCTCTCCATGCTTGACGCCATAGCATCTACCCCATTTGCTAAAGCAAGTTCCATGTCTGCTGCTTCTGAAGAATCATCACTACTTTCTTCAGACAGTAACCTTAGAAACTGATGTAATATCAGTAATCATGTCGTCAAGAAAGTAACAATAAAGATAATAGCTTTAACTACCTAATTAGTATCAGCTGCTGATATAAAAAAGCAATGTGGTTCCCTTTCCATTTGAATAAGCAACAGTGGTAATTAACAGATCTCTCTCTAAAAACTACAGCAGACCTTAATTTAATGCCATTTTCTAATAAATGTAGAAACTTGTCATGCACATGAACATAACTGTAGTACTCTTCTACAACTTGAAGAGACAAGAAAACTAACCGCTCCAACATGATGCTTTGGTGGTGTAGACGCAGCAGTTTCCTCTAGTCCTGACCATGCCTTTTCGTCAATCTCTAGAAATCTATTCACAATAAATTCAACACGCAGCCCAAATTAGTAATTTACAAATAAGACATTGTGCACTAGCATTAGTGGTCGATTGCTGGCTTAAAATTTTCGAAAAAAGAGCAGGTGGCAGAAATTGACCCCAAGAATATAGCAAACGCTCCATATTCAAAGTATGGTATGCTTTCATTGGTTAGTCAGTAGTAAATACTCCTTTTGCCCCAATTTTATATGATACTTTTTCCTTTTTAAGACGCCCCAAATTTTTTACACCATTCAAAAACTAAATATAATTCTGCTATTCAAATTTTAAACTTTGAAGAGGAGCCTTGGCGCAACAATAAAATTTGCCGCCATGTAGCCAGATGGTCACAAATTCAAGCAAACAGTCTCTTCTAAATATGCAAGGCAAGACTGCGTACATTAGATCCAATATGATCGAGCCCTTCCCGGACCTGCGCATAGCGGAAGCTTAGTGCTCCAAGCTACCTTTTTATATGTTATTTTCTTTATGGAACTAATTTCTCAATATTTCTTCCACCGGTAAAATTATACATTAGTCGCAATTAACCTTTAAATTCTCTATCTAGTCAAAAACCGTTATATAATATCAATCGATCAAGTCATTGAAGATAACTCTATTTAATAGTAGCATTGCACAGTAACCTATAATAAATGGTAAGTAACTATTATAACATGTTAAATTGCACTGATAGTATAAAAATAATTTAACTTGATACATCAAGTTACTTATCATTTACTCTAGGTTATCAATCAGTGCTATTAAATAGAGTTACCTTCAAATATCTATTAAGTTACCTGATTGTATAAATAATTTTTACGCCATTATTGCATAAAATTTAAACTCTAACTTAAATCCATATCAATTTTTCATATTTATTGTCCGGCAAATAAACATTGAAATGAAATGATTAAAAAAAAATTAGCAAAGGAATCAGTAACTTGAAGATGGGCCGAAGGAGAGCGGAGGATTCGTGGACCCAAAGGTGAGGGTCGTCGGAGACGGAATCGCTACTGCTGCCATTGCTACTACGTTCCTCCGATAAGGAATCGTCGGACGGAAAGCCCAATGGACAAGTTTGGTGGATCTGGGCCTGGTGAAGGCCCAGCCCGATTAAGGCTCCGGCCGCATACTTGTGCGTTGGCGTCAACATCGAAGGCGACATGATTTTGAACAAAACTCGAGTGAATTGTGGAGTTTTTTGAATTTGATCGAAGATGATTTGATCAATTTGAAGTTTCACGGTTTTGTTTCCTAATTTGTCAATTTTCTTTCATTAGTTTAGGCGGTCATATTGTATATTGTTGAATTTGGAACTGTCGAAATGTAAACGACGTACGTTACTAGTGACTAACTGAATATATATTTCTAGTAGGGAAAATGATCAAATATACCGCTTACTTTAGTATATTGTTCACATTTACCCTTTATTATATTATTAAGTCATATTTATCCTTATCATTAGTTAAACTTTTTAAAAATACCCTCCAGCTAACGGAATGCCACCAAATTAAAAAAATAATTATTTAAAAAAAAATACATTGACCCACAACCCGTGAAACACATCATATAAAAATACGAAACTTAGATTTCTGAAACGTCTTAACACATTTTATTCATTTAGAGAGAGATTGAGAATGATGGTGGCAGTATAATTAGTAAAAACTTATATTTTTGGTTCTTAGTTGTTCATGGTGGCATTAGGATGTCATGTTATCACTTTCGTTTTTTTGTGTGGTTATAATATGGCATCCCTTTGTCTAATGTAATGCACACTTGATAGTTAGTTTGTATGTTGGTAACAACTGATATATACTTTAACAATACTTGTGTTTGGTTAATACATGAAGTTAGTTTACTTATGTTGTTAAGTTACTTTCCAACTTGTTGGTGCACTTTATTTCATTATTGATGAATTCCTTAGACCGTAGCTTGATATTAAATTGAATCTCCTCTAATTATTTTCTAACTTGTTCATTATAAGTTCAGTTGTTACTAAGATTTATGAGTATCACATCCCATAGCTTGGAATCTAACTTTGGTTCTTAACGCGTGATTTGGAGATAATTACTCGCTGCCCAAATGCTTAAAGTAGAATAAGAAAATCACGGTGCATATATACTCATCAACAAAGGCTCACTATTGGAGGAAGAAATACCTCGATAGCTGCCTTAAGACTTCAGAAGTATCAACCTAATAAGATGTTATAAACATTCAAGTCATGGTGAAAAGAAAATTATGGTGAATGCTCAGTATAGTTCGACACGGTGGAAAAACATAAAGAGAAAAGCTAGAAGAAGAAAAAAGAAATTAGAAAAGATATAATATAATATACATACAATAAAGATATTAAAAGAATTGGGACTAAATATAAATGAATATATGATTATCGGTATTTTTATGTCTTTCACTTTTTGAGTTCAACAAGTGACTATAACTAATCTGTGAGAAAAAATTACATTAAATAAAAGGGTTTTAGCGGGTTATTAATGGGTATTAAAAAAAATAAGTATTTTTTTAATTTGGTAGCTTTCCGCTAGTGGAGGGTATTTTAAAAAAGTTTGGCTAACGGTAAGGGTAGATGTAACCCAATAGTATAACGGATGGAAGATGTGAACCATATACTAAAGTATAAGGGTATATTTGACCATTTTCCCTTTCTAGTAGGATTAGAACGAGAAACAAAAATGGTGCTTTGGTGATTGGTCTTTTAAATTTTTCACTAAATATTCAACTAAGGGCTCGTTTCGCCATAAAAAGAAATTTTACTTTTTGTATTTTTCGAAGTCAGTATTTGCCCATGAAAACTTCAAATTACACTTGAAGTTGAATTTCGAAATTTTTTGAAATTTTGAAAAACTTCAAAAAGATATTTTTCAAATTTTTCATTTCAAATCACTCGCAAAAATTCAACAACAGTTTCAAGTTTTATTCATGTCCAAACACAACTCTGATTTTCAAATATCATTTTCAATTAATTTTTTTTTTTACTTTATTCTGGAATTTCACAATTCTTTTGTCCAAACGCCCACTAACTCTATCTTATCAGATTTAACAAAATATTTAATTAGAGTTCACATTTGAAGGTACAGTTTCTGTTATTTTTGTTCTATTTTAGTATCTAGTAGAATCATTTAGTAGGATGTATTAGAAGAATAATACATATATTAGCTTTGCTATTATTTAATTCCTTGTTTGGTAGTGTTTTTAAGCCTATATATAACTATTACTTGTATTAGTTAGATACCCTATCCAGTATTATTCTTATACATAGCAAACCATGGCATTAGCAATAACATGATTTTAATACATAAATAAGCATATATAAAGATAGAATTACCCGTTCAAAACCTTTTTTCAAATCCTTTCCATTGTTTTTCAGTCGTAGATGGAGGGTATTTGTCATGTTATTTTCAATACATCAAACCAAATAGTCCATAAGAAATAAATCTAGCATAATTAATCATGCACCATATTCAGTATTGCTCCTATACACCTTACCAAACGACCCCTTATAGTTTTTGAAGTGCAGTGTCTACTACTTTGCTTTATTTTCAGTATCTATCGCAGCTAGGGCTGTGCATAATTTGGTAAATACTGAATTATCTTACCGAAATCGAAAATTTTGGTATTTGGTATTCAATATTTTGGTATTCTGTATGGTATTTGGTTTAATATTTTTTTTAAAATATTGATATTAGGTATGGTATTTGGTATTTTAAAATAAAATATCGAAATACCGATACCATACCGAAATATATATTATATTGCACAATACACATATTATTAATTATAATATAATTATAAAAAATCTAAAATTTTACTCGTATATTCTCTAAGTTTATCAATTAACTCTAAGCAAGTAACAAGATAATTCTAATGATCAAATTTATTCATTTATGTATAGTTTTCTCTCTGGGTTGATATTTGCTGGTTTTGGACAAAACTTTTGTCAACAAACGTTTTTAGTTTTGTATTTTGAGTACTTTAATAAAGAACATTACAGTTTATGACTCTACATACTAGTTAGTATTCAAACCGAAGTTACCGAACCGAAAGGAGAAAAACCGAACCATACCGAATTTAATTAGGTACGGTATTGGTATAGCATTTTAAGAAACCGAATACCGAAAATACCGAACCGAAATATCTAAATACCATACCGTACCGACCGACGAACACCCCTAATTGCAACTAGAGCCGTCAATATAGGCCAGGCCGGGTTAGCCCAGCCCAACCCACGTGAGCTTTAGCAATTGACGGGCTGAGCTAAGCTAGCTCACTATTTTGATGGGCCTTATAATGGTCAGCCCACTTGATCTCGTCCAAGTTCACACCTCAATTCGAGGTTATAAAAACGGTCGATACAATAATAATACCCAACAAGAGTCGGGGTCGAATTCCGCAGGGAGCTATATGTATGGGAGTTAGTAGTATATATCGTAGCGCGTGAGTTAGTATATCTAAATTTGCACTTCCACAAAATTGGATTATTTTAAAGTCCAAATTAAACTACGATTGCAATTTAAGAAATAAAACTAGGAAATTGTTTTTGTTGTTTTTCAAATGTTATAAAAAGGCCTAGGGCTATGACATTCACCTAGGACTTTGCCTAATGGGATATAAACTTTAAAACTTGTTTTATTAGTCGGGGTATATTATAGCTATCAACACTCAATTACCCACTCAATACCTCTCGGCCACAAAGTGATTTTGCCCAATTTGGCTTTCTCAAGTCCAAATGGGTATTAAACAAAATGGTTGATAAAAAGCTCAAGTCGGGTTGTTACTATCTCTAGGTTCAACCCTTTAATTGGGATTGTCAATCTCTCGATTGACCCAATTTTTTGTTAGCCAAGTTTTCCTAGATTAAGTCTCTCTTTCTCAAGTAAAGATCAAGTCAAATAGGCATGAACTAATATTTGCAACCATTAATTCCACAAATAAAATAAAGAACAAGGTTAAATAATAAACACCCAACCATAAACAAGCATTAAATTAAACATCCATTAAGTTTACACACTAGGGTTGGGTCACAACCCTAGTGAAAATCTAGCTACTCATGCTTGAAATGGAAAAAAAAGAAAGAGAAATGATAATTAACTCATATTGCTAATTAAAATGATAAAATCTATGTTCAAATAGCTCAAAATATGAAAAACTACTAAAAGAAGTAAAAGGAAAGGGCTATTGTAAGCAGATGATGTCAAAAGTTGACCTAAAATGTGAAACTTGTCTATTTACAGGTTTGGGAATTTCGGACAAGAATGCCCTTTCGGAGATTCTGCGGCCGCATAATTCCATGTGCGGTCTGCACTTTTCTTCAGCTTGACAGAATTGGAAATTTGCGACCGCATAATTCTGAACCGCGGCCGCAATGCACTCTTTCTGCGGTCCGTAAAATTGTAACTGGGGTCGCACCTTGCTCTTCTGCGGTCGGCACAATTGTTGTGCGGTCCGCACTTCTGGGAGACTTAGAATGCGACGGCTTTCAAAAGACGAGTAAGGGACGGGGATATCTTCTCTGACTTTGCTTCTGGCTCAGCTTTTGCGGCCGCACAATTCATGTACGGACTGCACTTTGCATCAGTCTCTGATGGAAATTCCTTTATAACCTGCGGCCGCAGATGATATTCTGCGATTCGCACAATTGAGCTTTTGTGCCTTTTTTGTCCTTGAGTTCAGATTACTCCTTCTTGAGTTGGATTTCATCTTGGGAGTTCATCATCCAATATTCCTGCAATTAAGCACATTTCATCAGTTTTTGAAAAGATAATTAAACGCTTTTAGACTAAAATAAAAGCTAAAAGACGCTAATGAGTGGTCAAAATTTCCACTTATCAACTCCCCCAAACTTAAGCTTTTTCTTGTCCTCAAGCAAATAAAGTGGTTCCCACCTCTACAAGTTAAGAGCCATTCCAGCAAATCAAAGTGAGTCATTCACACATCAATTGAGACCAACAATTACCCACACCACTTATGAATTATCAACAAGGCAACAAGTTAAACTTTTAAGCACAAATAGTTCTAATGTGACACTGGAGCATTAAGAGTTGACTTTATTCATCAAGGAAGCTCGCTCTTTTATGTAGGTCGTTGTGGATCCCAAACACCTCCTTCTCTAGTCTCCGTTTGCCTATCTCACTTAAGAATTTAGCACTCAATCCAAAGATTTGCGAAAGATTCACTCACCTCTCTTAAAAGAATGTCGCAAGTACGACTTTAAATACCATAGGCTTACCCCTCATGTAGACACCACTAATGTAAGCTCACTCGGCTTGAAATCACGTATGGCTTTTTCGGAATGCAATGAAGGCTTTT